ATTTGCGAAAATTAACGTCCGCGAGCATTAAGTGTTTTACGGTTTTCCGATTTTCTTTCTAACACAGGATGATTAATATGGGAGTGTTATCGATAACATCCGTTCTGTGCAACGGTTCAACTTCGATTAATTCCCTGGGGTCACGACGGAAACCAAGCTATTGGTATGTGATTATGTTACCTTCTGTTCCGGTCTCGACATTGTTTATACTGTACACCATTTCTACGCTGCCGTCGTCATCTTGAATGGTGGATGGAACTTCCGGTCTGGGCAGGAAAAACATCGCGTTTTGCTCTCGCCATGCCACTAGAAAGTATTCCGTGCTAAGTGTAAATATCATTCGCTCTTGCCCTGCCTCGTCTTTATTCTTTTTTTACGGGTTTTTCCGAATTGAAAATTATTACTTTCAATGTTCAAAGCACCTACAGGAAAGGCGAGACCGGTAGCGGGAAAGAATAATTTTTTAAAGCCTCTATATTTGATCATTATTTTCTTTAGAATGTAAAAGCCTAAAAAAAAATTGTAGGATTATACTCTATCAAGTCTAGTAAACCCTGAATGTTTGAGGATTGGGAATTTAGAGCTAGTGAACTTCGATAGACGCCGACATTGCGAATAAAAATAAATGCCGCAAAATTCCGTCCATGTTTTATCATAAATAGCATAAAAAAGAAGAACAAACCCGAAGCATTGTTACTAGCTTGGCAACCCGTATATCATATACTTTATATTTTGTAACCTTCGTATTTTGGTGGCCTTTTTTAGGTATATATAAATGTTCTCTTTGTATTTTGTTTTGCACAAAAATATTGTATCCACGCTCGAAGGATTCCTCTGGAACGCTTTTACGCAAGCGCCAGCCCACGTTTTCAGTGGAAGTTGACGCGTGAGTCCATAACAATATTAGGTGCACGTCAACACCGCGGCGTTCTCCTCTTGTTTACGTCCCGTCAATCATTTTGCGAAAAGTCTCTGGTAGGACGCGTGATCCGCGAAACAAGGTACAAACCTCCCTGTTACCAAACAAAGTGCGGGAGAGTATATACCCCCGTTAATCCCTCAAACCCGTCAGCGTCACCGGACGAGTCTATGTAGGGTGATTTTTTCACGTTATAGATCATCGTCCACTCGTTGCGGTCTTTGCGGGTCTCGCGAGCGCTTGTCAAAACAGCTGTTCTGAATGTGACAGCATGAGCTCCAGTGCGCGTGCGCAGAACCCAGACCCGCGTGAGACGAAGCGTCCGCGCATGCGCAGTGCCGACAGCAGCGCCACCGCAGTGGTGTGGCGTCCGAAAGAAACTGAGGGAGAGAGCTCGCGGTGACGTCGTAGTGCCCGGCTCCGATTGGAAGGATTCGGCCCCTACCCACCAATCCTCCCAATGAGAGCTTGGCGCTCTGACGTGTATCCTCGCGCTCTCATCTCGTACTCTCCCTTAAGTTTCGCTCCGTATAGACCAACTGATGTTTACAAAGAAACCGGAGCGCCCCTAGCTGACGCCACCGGCGCCGCGCATGCGCGATGGGGTGTGGGCAAGAAGCTCGCAGTCGCCCATATATGAACCATTGGATATGCGACGTTGTCGGCGTCGGTGTGAGTCCCCGTGCTCTTTTTCGGGTTGGAAGTGGGAGTCCTTGTCTTCCTATAACAATGTCTGACTACCGTTGAGCGGCCTAAGCGAAATTAACGAGGCTCGATACACTGCGAAACTTCGCGTGAATAAGGTGACATGCGGCGATTCATTCTGCGCTGACGCCGCAGAATGGATGCTAAAGCCTGATTCACATGATGAGGTTCTGCTCGCTATTTTCAGTCATGACGTCGCTCGGCGTACAAAAGTGTGGATCGTAGCTAAGATGTCGACGTCGATATTGAAAATCGCAAGCAGAATCGGACCAAGTGAATCAGGCGTAACAAGCCGGTGATGGCCACTGGTAACACTTATGAACATCTCCTTGTATCTCCTTGTATCTACTGTTTACACGGAGCCCATTGAACCCAACCAACCTTCCAACTTAAAAGTCTTTTGAGGCCTGCACTTACTTTACTTATTATCGCAATTACCGGGTCAATGCTTGGTCTACAAGCCGCTGTCATTTGAACGGGTAGACGACCACGAGCAGAAATGTTCGAGAGAGCAGACGACAGCTTGAACGATCAGGCGGCCGTTTGAACTTGACGACGCACTGAACGTAGTCCGCATGGTAATTCGTACAACTTTGCGGTTTTTCCGCGTTCGTGTTGAAACAAAACAAATAAATCTGACGGCAACAAGTATCCGCGAATTCAATCCAAAGTGCTTCCGGCACAACCAATCGTCGTTGAACTGCGTCTGGTTCTCCTCTTCCACGGTCCCTGTCCACGTTCTCGGACAAATCGAGCAGGCAGAAAACACACGAAGACTGACCTTCCAACCTTTCTCGACTCTTTTGGTACACTGCCCCAGTCGCGGCGTTTTGACGAGAAGGCAGGTTTTGGTCCGGTTTCTTCCAAAAGAACACAGGAATGCACGTCCCGCATGGTTACTTCCGCTCACAGCCCCTGACCGGAAGTGCGCCGGACGCGCCACCAGTGCGCCGTGACGTAACAGAGCAGAGTTCGTGTATACAGTATGCACCTTGTTCGCCCCCAGCAATACACTGTTATTACTAAATGTGTACGCTTTTGTAGTTGATAAAAGCAGAGAACAGTATATAGCCGAAAATGTCAATTTTTCTCGAAGAGAAAACAGACTGATACTTTGATAAATCTAAAAAACAGCGGACTGTTTTTTTTTCTTTTGTTTGTTCTCCGCGGGAGTGATGGATCCGGTTGTCAGCTCTCGAGCGTTCGCTCGCTGGGCTGAATTGTAGTCCGGGCTGTATGGGCAACGAGCCGCGAGCATTCGAGATATCGCTCGGCGGTTCCACCAGTCGGAAGCACAAGAATCCTTCGCTCGCTACTGGCCGATAGTGGTCCCTGGTTACGGAACAAGTCCTCCCATCGCAGGAGATGACCTCGGCGTGTTGCGATCTTTGGTTGCTAATTTAATAAGGACATCGGCTACGTACTCTTAATGATTTATGAATTCCTAGGACACTTAGAGCCAGCGGAGTGGCTTATCGCCATATTTCGACATCTCCAAAATCTTCTCAGGGCACCTTTAAGCTGAGAGGAGAAGCTCACCTTCAGGACGAACTCGCCGGCTTCCACAGTGCTTCAGTTGCGCGTGCCTGCGCGTGCATGCTTGTGTTTGCAAGGGCAGAAAGCTCGCGCTAGAGGGGGAGCTTCTACCCTCAGCTTGAAGATGAACGGGGTATAGCTTTACTAGATCATGCCAGAAGCTTGATCCTGCTCACGGAAGCTTCGGCGTAGAAGCGACAATGTCCTGGGTTCGCGAAGTGGCGTTCGGAGTTGCCTTCCCACGCTCCGCTCTCGCGCACGACACTTCAGTTCACACCACAGCAACCAGAAAGGTCTTGCTGGTTGGAAGGCTGATTGGACGTACAAAAAAGATAGCGGCACGCTAGACGCTTTTTGACAGAAGCTTCTTGACAAGGACCCGGAGGAGTATCGGAACTTGCGGGGGCGTCATCCGGGCAAAGTATCTGCAGCTTCTTCCAGGCGTGGAACCAAGAATCGCGTGACAAAATGGACCAGCGAACGCGCAAAGCCAATGATGCGCCATCTTTAATTTAAATGTCCCAAAACACACTTACAAAAAAAAAAAAAAAAACTAAGAAAACATTTTATCGTTGCCAGACTAAACGCTTTTCATGTCAATCACCCGCCAAAGATCCGCTTGTAAAAAGTCGCTCAGCCATTTCACTTCGCACGTCCGCGGACGAGGGGCGGATCGCCGGAATCGGTGACGTAACGGTCACGTGGGGTGGTACACGGTCCGGGGACGAAAATCGCGATTCAGTCCGTCGTGCGAATCACTCATAAACATGACAGCGCAGTGAAAGTTACTTGGTCGTTGGACCCATCTTACATCTGGCTTTTTTTCCTCCCACGCGATGACGGTCCCTGCCCATACCCACGCGCCAAAGAATGGGGGCCACGTGACGAAACGAAGGACGTTGATTGGTTCCCGCGAGCGCACTGTCAGCTAGGGAGTGAACGGGGTGATAACGCGGAGCGTGATTTGATGCGAGTGATCTACAAAAGGGACCTAGTCCCCGAACACAAAATCGTGCCCAAAGCAGAAAGACGAAAAATTGGATTTTCGATTTTCACCTACTGAGGGCTAGCGTGGGTGACAAATTTGACAGGAGTGTACCGGTTTGGCTCCGGCTGAAGTTCCGACTGATCGAGCGCGAGTTACAACCGAACGCGCGGACGTAGCACTCGCTTCCAATAAGCGATTGGCTCTAGAACTTAGTAGGCGACATCGAACGTGCAGCTCGACGGTTTTCTGTCTTGGTGTTGTCGCGTTTTGTCGGTCGCACTGCTAATTATTAAAAAAAAAAAAAGAAGTAAAGAAAACATAGCGGTTGGTTAGATAAGGCGCGGTGCATAGCACAGGCGAGAAAAGTAGCCAATGCGTTTGTCGTTTGTGTTATCTGCGTGGAGGAGATAATTGTGGCCTGGAGTAAACGCATGTTGCTTAGCTCACGTTGTGTCAGAGCGCTAGCCGACGCCCTGACTGAAAGTAAAACGAAGTCTAGTTTCATGGAGTGTATTTGACCATGGCAACGCTATGGTTTTTAATGCGTAAGCGTTAGAGTGCTTGTTTGTTTTGTCTTGCAGGGAGGGAGAAAGAGGGGGGTAATGTTCACCCCCCCCTCACCCTCTCTTCCTTAAATTAATCGATTCTCGCACGCCTGAAGTTGGAACGCGCAGTCTTTTTCAACCTTGCTTCCCCAAATCCGATATGCCAGTCGCCACCTAAATCCGCACGGATGGGCTCCCATTGACGCATACCGAGACTTGGGCAGAAAGTAGCCAGAGGGAGCGAGAGTCCACCCAATTTCTAAGGCGGCTCAGACGTGTACACATCTATTTCGCTTTCTCGTTCCAGGTCAAAGTCCAGGTCCGCTGCCTCGACGGCCACAAGGACCTGACGTTCAAGTCGGCCAAGAGCTGCTCCTGCTTCCACTGCAAGAAGAACTGATACGTCGCCGAGGCTGCTGCGTGAATCCATGAAGTCACAGACTGTCCACGCTTAACTATATATATACACAACTGCTGTCATGCATGTACTACATTTTATTCATTAGTTTTTGTTATCGGAAAAAGGGTTTTTTAACAACCCGCCTTTCCTTGCGTATAGTAACACTTCGAGATAACCCGTCTCGGGTCGAAACATCTCTGAAATAAATTAGTTAAGTTTTTGAAGTGGTATCCCTGTTTTGCTTTTTCGCTATTTGATTTTTCTTCAGTCAGCCTTTTTTGCTTTTCTTTTTTAGTTTGCTGCTTATGCCAAGCTTGTTCTTTCTCTGAAAGTTTTTTCGGCAACAGCCACAAAGATCACAAGGTTGTCTCTTCTACTTGAAACAGCCTGCTTCTTTGTGCGAAATGCACTCCAGGCACGGATATATGGTTAACGTCTGTAGATTACTTAATTTTCGACAGACGCGATAGCCCTTTGTTTCCCTTCTCCCTGTCTCACCCCGACGTTTGAATTATCGTTGGTTTCGTATTGATTTCCGGTAATAAACATTGTTCCCATGAACCAACTTTTTTTGGCCACTTTATTTTTAAGTTTATAAGAAACATTGTTACGATATAATGGTCACTGCCAGTTTAAGGAACCGCAGATAATGGCGAGTCTTGAGAATTCAATTATCGCTCCACATATACTTCAATAACTAGTCACTTTGGGTAGGGAAAAAATTGCCTTGCAGGGGCGCCAGTCTGGCAAGTTTGAGCAGGCCTCAGGGCTTGGGTGCCATTCACAGTTGCATGGTGAGAGTTACAAAAAGGCCGAGGGGAAAGAAAATTATCTTATTAGGGCGAGAAAAAAAATCATAAACGTTTGGCTCCTTTTTTTTTAGTTTCTAGGATAGGTGGCGCAAGCTACAGCCCGTTATAAAGGGTAATGCCGTTAGCATCATCCATCCATCCGTCCTTAGGAATTGGGCGATTACGCACTCACCGGTGGGCGCACCTGCAACCAAAATGGCGGCAGTTACAGACGTGGACACACTGTGGTCACTGACAGCTTAAGAAATGGGGGATTGGCATGTTATCTTTGCGATTTTTGGCTTCGTGAGTATTTCTTCGTCCTTCTTGTCTGCTAACGCCGCGGTCTTTTGGCTGGTGTGCAATAATGAGATTTTCGGAACTCGACACGGCTTCTGTTTTTTAAGTTTTTAGTGACTATACGAAGCGCAAGTTCGTCTGCTTCTTGCGAAGGGGTTGCGGTGACATCAGAACGTCGAGCTTTGATTGGCTCTGATTGAAAGGATACAGAGGTAGACTTCAATGCTATAGCTGCCTTGAGGTTTACCCACTATCCTTCCTATCGAGCCAACCAGAGCTGGGCGTTCTGACGTAACAGCAACTCCCTGCGCAAGAAGAAGGCAAACTTGCGCTCCGCATAGCAAATGCCTCTGACGTCACGGCTAAGCAGTGGCGCTGACGCCATGCAAGGCGCTCGAAACGAAAGAAACATGACCGAACGAGATTGCGCCTCATCTCAAACAAGGCACTCGCAATCAATACCTTCCCGTATTAGTAAAGAGCTGTTTCATCTAGCAATCTCTAGTTGGAACGCTGTTTCCGGGATGTTAACCTTCAGAAACGCCGCTCTGCCCCACGCGTACCCACACGCATGGCTGGCACTAACCTAATTCGAAGACGCGGGCTAAACTTGGCACCTCGTTCACACGTCTCCGTGCGGTAACGGAACCACCTGTGACTTGCTGCTGGGTGCTTCGAGAGCTTGCGAGACTTGAGCGGCCATCTTGACTCGGGTTGTTCACTCGCCTACGGACGTGTACGTGAACAGACTCCACAATGATGAGGTGCCCAAGTAGTATATTGCTAAGCCTTTCTCTGCCTTTCTACTTATTTTGCCGTGTTTAGTTGTTTGGCAGCCTAGGAGCGAGTGTATACCTCGACAACTAGCTAATAACCGACGCTGGGCAAAGACTCAGCGGCTCCCAGAGCGTAAGCTTAACGCCTAAAAACAAACAGATAGATTGCGTAGTCCCTTCACGTGTTCGGACGGCCATTTGCATAACCCACGCACGCTTGCTGCCGGCGCCTTGTCTAATGAGCTAATTTCGAACCCTAACTTGTTTCTAAGTTGCCGAGTGTTTGTTTTCCTATTCATTGATTTGCTCCGCTTTTGATAAAGGCGGCCGACAAAGCGTTGACCGCCTACACTTTTGTTTTGGGGGAGCAACGATGTTTTTGATAACGTGGATAGAACGGAACTTTGTTTTTTCCATGGATGTCGTTTCCTTTTGTCTTCGTTTCAGGCAAAAGAATAGGTACGCCATAAATTTGCACCTTTTACGAAGGGTAAGGGTCTTGACAGGTAAGGTACTGCAACCCACAAAGCTAACCGCGTCAAAGGTAAAATGATCTCTCACCTTTTGGTGGTCTCTAAACCATGCGGCGTGACTAGAAGTTCCCCGAGTTGGACGTGTATGAAGGAAACTGCGGAGTATGCATAATACAAATAATTCTTCCAACAAAATTCACAATGTTTGGTATGAGTTGAGGGCTCAATGGCTGTCGCAAGATAAATTATTATCATGTAAATTTGGTGTGCTGGGATTATTTATTCTACCGCAAAGCACTGCAATGGCGGCATATTTGTTCGGTGATAACTATGTAGCCTGTTACAAAATGATAATTTCAGAAGGGATCCCACGCACAAAAAGCGACGCTCCACTCAATACTATATAACCGCCTGTTCGCGCCTCCAGCTCTTTACTCGCCCTCTCGCGGCGGAAACGGGAAGCACTCTTGTGAAGGTCCCCCCATCCGTCAATCCAAGGCCGCAATGTTATGCTCCACGCACGCGCAGTGTAGAACACGCAACGCTAATGCAAATACGAAGAGCTTGCGTACGCTCGTGTATGTAGTACTGAAACTCGCTATTGTTTCAACGGTTTTCCGACGTCAACGAACGTACTGCAGTGAGCAGACGTGCAAGCGGGTGGGCGCTTTTTCGAACTAGAAATGCTGAGATTGACAAAAAAACGGCGCGTAAAAATTAAAAAAAAAAAAAAAATATGTTCTGGGTGGCTTTGTAATTAAAACAACAACAACGAAATTCGTTTCTTTCATATTTCGGGGCATTTGGTTCGGAAGGATCGGCGGCGTGTTTGGAAGTTTTGCTAAATGCCAAAAGTCGCGACTTTTGATATCACCATATGCTTCACGCACAGTGAATGCCATTTTACGCTAATTTATCTGACTAGCGAGAATGTTCATACTTTTTTTTATTTTATAATTTGTTAATCAAGAATGCAGCAATCGGCACCAGTGATGATAATTTGTCAAATTTGGATTGTCATATTTGTTCACGCGTTTGAAATTAGATCATGAGCAACAAATTATATGAGTTTTAGAAACTATTTAAGAAAATATCTTAATTGTTGTATTATTAATACAACTTGCAGTAATGTAGGCCCCCCCCAAAAGAAGCCACAATCACAAAAATACGCCATTTCACCATAATATTCTTTACAGAAATATATCACTTCGATTGCTCTAAACCCTTATAGAATTAAATACTTAATGCAATATAACGTCCCATGCTTCACGCGTTGTCTTATAAACACACACACACACAAACGCACACACGCACACACGCACACACACACACACACACACTCCTCCGGTGCCTGACTCGGATTTTTTTTTCTTTTTTTTTTTTTGGGGGGGGGGGGGGGGAGGGGTTTGTGTTTTGTGACCACATTCTAGACTCATCACCCGTGGTGATATTTTGTAAAATTTTGATTTTGTATTTCTTGTGAAGGGAATAATGCTAAAGCAATTAATATCTAAATGCCCCAGAACTCATTAAAGGGCCCGCAAGCAGGTCGTTATTTCACATGACCTTTATCCGAGTAAAAACTGGCTGCAAGGTCACACAAATATCAGCACTGACTTTTACACCAAATACAACATACTTTTACCTCTAAGGTGTATGGGAGAACCAGTTTTTAAAGGGACACTGCACTCTCCAGAATATTTTTTTAAGATCCTGGGTCAGACATGCATGTCACAAAATAAAGTTTCCGCGAATAATTTCTTTGACATAATAATTACGCTGTGAGACAGATTTCGAGGTAGGAGATAAACCAAAATAAACAGCTAGACCGAGAAATCAAATCCAAAATAAAAGTTAGTTTCCGTGTCGTTTCTGGATTAAAACGTGCCTCCCGGCATAAATGTTACGCTAAACACAGTTTTCGTTATCAGAATAAAGAGGTGACCCGCGCGTATAACAACCTAGCTTCCTCGTACAAGGGGGAATAATTTCCGTCGCTCAGTAAAGCCAGCACACCAAACAGGGTTCGGCAACTGGTATAGGAGGACGCATCTCCGATCCTTACTATAACCGCCATTTTGGGAAACGAGTGGCGCCACCTATAGGTAGTTGGGGTCGCGAATACATCAAGTAATGCAGGAGACAGGGAGTTGCCAAGCTGTAGAGTTGGAGGTCTTTGCCTTGCTTCACCATTTGTTTGCGAAGCAAAGGAAATCTTATCTTCTTCTTCTTCTTCTTATTGTGAATATTATTATTATTATTAGTAGTAGTAGTAGTAATAGTTGTAGTAGTAGTAGCAGAGTAGTCAATGGCGTAGGCAGGGGGAGGCTAATGGGGCTCAGCCACCCCCCCTCCCCCCCCTTCCCGAAAACTTCCTGGCTACGCCACTGGTAGTAGTAGTAGTATACAGACTTGTGGCTATTTCAAATACTCTACTCAAGATACTGTATCTTAAATACTTTTTGGAGTATCATAATACCTTGGAAATACCTTTGATGGAGAGTTTTTAATACTCTATTTTAATTACATTTCCAAGTATCTTGTACTCATTATCTTAAATACATTTTTGACATTCCGCCATTTTCCGAGTTTTTTGGTATGAAGTGGAGTGGGCGTGGCACGGGCAAACGTGAACATTTTTTCGAGCAACCGAATCCTGTTGCTAGCTCCGATTAGCTACGGTGACTTTAACTGAGCTCGTGAAAATATCGCTTTTTCTTTTGCCGACTGTGACTCATGTTTCAGCCCTAAGTTCGT